TGGCTGGATGGAATGGCTGGGACGGGCAAATCTGCGATCGCGCGTTCGTTCTGTCACATTCTAGACAAAAATCAGCAGCTGGGCGGCAGCTTCTTCTGCCTTCGAGGCGATGCAAACCGGGGAGATCCGAAACGCATTCTTCCTACACTCGCAATGCACCTCGCTCACCAGGATGCGACTTACAAGAGCGCTCTGCTGGCCGCTCTCGATAAAGGAATATCTTGGAATGCAAATCTTCAGATCCAGGTCGAGAACCTGCTTGAACAGCCTCTCCGCAGTGCTCACGGCAGTGGGCAGTCTGCATTGGTCCTCGTTATTGATGCGCTCGACGAACTCGATGATGAGGATGCTACAAAAGACCTTCTTCGGAGACTCGTAGCTGCGGTGCCTCAGCTTCCCATCAAAGTCTTCGTCACGTCTCGACCAGAGCGGCACATTCGTCCTCATTTCCGGACACCAGCAGATTTCAGACGTGTCCTCCGGCTTCACGACATCGAGAACAATATTGTCAAGGCTGACATATCACTCTACCTCACGAACCGTCTTGCCGCCATCCGAGCTGAGAGCAGTCCTATGGTCCCTCCTGACTGGGCTAGCCATGCAGACATTGAAGCGCTCACACACCGCGCTGGCAAGCTCTTCATTTACGCATTTACTGCAGCGAAGTACATCGGCGAGAATCCGAGCGACCGGCTGCGTACTCTGATCGGCATCAAAGTCGACGCCAAAGGGCCGTTGACCAAACCACTAGACAATGTCTACAGGCATATCCTCTCGGATGCTATGGGCCCGGATCGGCGTGAACGCGGCGAGATTGTTCTAACAAAACAGATTTTAGCCGCGGTCCTGACCGTGAGCCAGCCCTTGTCTGTTGCCTCACTTGGTGGTCTACTTGAGGTGTCTGCTCAGCGGGTGCGGGCAATGCTTGACCAACTACATGCTGTCATCCATGTCCCACCAGACGATGATGAGGGTGTTTTATCCACATTCCATGCCTCTTTCGGCGACTTCCTCACAACCACTGGTCGCGCGCCGGACGAAATACTCATTAACCGGTCGGCCGCCCACGTTGCTTTGTTCTCAAATTGCATTCGAGTCATGGACTCCGAGTTGTGTTTCAATGTTTCGAAGTGTCCCACATCCTACCTCCCCAACACTGCTCACAAGCTCACAATACCCGCCCTGCTCCAGTATGCGTGCTTGTCCTGGCCATATCACATTGCAGCAGCTTCTGCTGCTGAAGCTTCAGATGTTGATGTTTTCGTCACCCTGTCCCACCTCAAGTCACTCCAGGATGTTTTCTTACCCAAGTTTTTGTTCTGGGTCGAAGTGCTCAGTGCAATGAACAAGGCTAGTGTTGCCTCGAGCCTGATCATGACGGTGTTGACTGCGAAATGCTTTGCACGCGCTCCAGAACCCATGACTGAATTTCTTGGCGACGCCAACGAGTTTGTTGTTTCTTCTTTGGAGGCTATTGAAACCAGTGTGGCACACATATATCTCTCTGCTCTTCCATGTCTCCGACCAACCTCGAAAGTTGCCAAAGCATTCTGGCCAAAGTTCATTCGTCTCCCACTGCTACATCTTGCAGGGATTCAGCGGTGGCAAGGAGCAGCTCTTCTATTACAAGGACATGATGATAAGGTCAACTGCATTGCCATCTTCGCAGATGGAGCTTGCATTGTGTCGGGTTCACGGGACAAGACAATCCGCATGTGGGATGCGCGGACGGGCGAGGCCATCATGGAGCCCATCCAGGGCCACACCCGCTCGGTCAACTCTGTCGTGTTCTCGCCCGATGGGGCACACATCGTATCAGGCTCGGACGATAAGACAATCTGTGTGTGGGATGCGAGGACGGGCAAGCCCGTCATGGGGCCCATCCAGGCGCACACGGAGTCGGTCTTGTCTGTGGTGTTCTCGCCCGACGGAGCGCGCATCGTATCGGGCTCGGTGGACTACACAATCCGCGTGTGGGATGCGAGGACAGGTGAGGCCATCATGGAGCCCATCCAGGGGCACACGGGCTGGGTCTTATCTGTCGGGCTCTCGCCCGACGGGGCGCGCATCGCGTCGGGCTCCGATGACAAGACAATCCGTGTCTGGGATGCGAGGACGGGCAAGGCCGTCATGAAGCCCATTTGGGGGCACACTGGCTCAGTCAATTCTGTCGCGTTCTCGCCCGATGGAGCATGTATCGTGTCAGGTTCGGATGACAAGACGATCCGTGTGTGGGATGCGAGGAAGGGCAAGGCTGTCATGTGGCCCATTCAGGGGCACACAGAGTCGGTCTTGTCTGTCGCATTCTCGCCTGACGGAACGCGCATTGTGTCGGGCTCTGATGACAAGACAATACGTGTGTGGATAGTGAGGATGGCTAAGACAATCCGCGTGTGGGAATCGAGGATGGGCAAGGCTGTCATGGGGCCCATCCAGGGGCACACTGGCACGGTCGGGTCTGTCGCATTCTCGCCCGACGGGGCACGCATCATGTCGGGCTCGGGCGACCAGACAATCCGTGTGTGGGATGTGAGACCGGGAGAGGCTGTCACGGAGCCCATCCAGGGGCACACAGGCGTCGTTTGGTCTGTCGTGTTCTCGCCCGACGGAGTGCGCATCGCATCGAGTTCAGACGACCACACGATCCGTGTCTGGGATGCAAGGACGGGTGACCCGGTCATCAAGCATATCCCGGGGTCTCAGTCGGTCCGGTCTGTCGCGTTCTCGCCCGACAGCAAGCACATCGCATCGGGCTCAGATGGCGGGAAGATCTGCATGTGGGATGCAAGGACAGGTAAGCTCGTCATGAAGCCCATCCGAGCGCATATGGGCTCGGTCTTGTCTGTGGTGTTCTCGCCCGACGGAGCACGGATCGTGTCGGGCTCGTCAGTTGGCACGATCCGTGTGTGGGATGCGAAGACGGGCAAGGCCATCACGCGGCCCATCCAGAGGCACACAGACTGGGTTCGGTCTGTTGCGTTCTCGCCCGATGGAGCGCGCACTGTGTCAGGCTCCCGTGACAAGACAATCTGCATGTGGGATACAAGGAAGGGCAAGGCCGTCATGTGGCCCATTCAGGGGCACACAGAGTTGGTCCGGTCTGTTGCGTTCTCGCCCGACGGAACGTGCATCGTGTCGGGCTCCGATGACCAGACAATCCGCGTGTGGGATGCGAAAACGGGTGAGGCGGTCATGGCGCCCATCCGGGGCCACACTGACTCAGTCCAGTCTGTAGTGTTCTCGCCTGATGGAGCACACATTGCATCGGGCTCGTCGGACGAGACAATCTGTATTTGGGATGCGAGGACGGGCGAGGCCGTCATGGAGCCGATCCAGAGGCACACAGGCCGGGTTCGTTCTGTCGCGTTCTCACCTGACGGAGCACGCATCGCGTCGGGCTCGGACGACAAGACGATCCGTGTGTGGGATGCGAGGATGAGTGTTACCCCAGCGGACAAGTTCAGCCCCTCGATTGTGGATTTGAGCACCAGCCTCCTCACCTTGCCACACGTAAAGGACAGCTGGATACGTGGTCCAAGACAAGAGCTTGTCATGTGGGTGCCCCCAGAATACCACTCTTACTTACAACTGCCACCCCATTTCATCGTCATTGCGTCTGCCAGAGTCATCGTGGACATGAGTCGCTTTGTTCACGGCACTGATTGGGTCAAATGTTGCATTCCGTGAATCGATTTCTGACTATGTAGTATGTATCCACAAAATAGGTGACTCGCCGTAGCCTTTCATAGTACTCATATTATTCTATGGCTTACTACAACTTTCGAGGTACTCGGGCAGTGTGCACAAGTCGGCGTGGTCAACTTCCAAAGAAGTTCCACAGCCAACAACGAGCCTTACTCGAAGACAACAACACTGCAGTAGCATTTGCTCGGGAACTACCTCCCGTTGACACTGGAGGCAATCACCAACACATCTGATTCGACATGCGTCAAAGGCATACGGTACGCAGTTGCAGATGCAATCCAAATGGGGTGGAACCAAATGCGGACCCAGGCAAAGGGTTTCTTTGTCACCCTTTTGTTTTCCTGGGTGGGGACCAAACAAAAGGGCGACAAAGAAACCCTTTGCCTGGGTCCCCATTTGGATTGCATTTGCAACTGCGTACCGTATGCCTTTGACGCATGTCGAATCAGATGCGTTGGTCTTTGCCCCCAGTGTGACTTTAATGGGCTTACAGGTAGATAACACCCCATTTCAAATTCATTCCCAGCTGTTCTCCGTTGCTACTAGAGGCAGCTCCCATGTTTTATGAAAATCATATGTTTACAAAAGAATTGAACTCCGAGTTATCAGTGCATTGTGTTTAAACAGGATGCTTCGTCTTCCACGCAGTCAGGAAAGAGTACAGAGCGGCAGATTCGACCAATGGATCATCGATGTGCTCCACAGTTTCGATGAACGTGGGAGCAGCATGGGCTGTGAGGTCTGGGTAATTTGATAGGGTAAGACCCCGCTAGAGTTGTCAAGAAGCCAAGTAGTCACGCAGAAAAGAGTGGGTTAGGTGTTGTTGGATTCGAGAAAACTGAGGAACTACCTATGCACATCTACATTAAATAGTATTCTAAGTAACTATGTGTCATTAGCGTGTCGTTGTATTCTAAGTAAAGTTGAACAAGGCCGCAGTTCAGCCGCAGTGCCGCAGTTTGGCCGCAGTTTGGCTGCAGTGTTGATCTACACTGCAGCATCTGATTCCATCAAACCGTAGCACGGTAATCACCGTCGGATGTGCCGGATGCCGACGGCACACACATCCCTTACATGGGCTTTGCCACGGCCATACGTATCAACAATTTGGATTGCTGTCTGCATTTGCAAGCCCAGTCGAGCTAATGCCAAGAGCCTTTTGAATCGCACTCTTCGTCATTTTCTGTTATGTATTAGACTCAGGAACTCTTGAGGCAGCCGTACCACAAAGCTTGGTCCTATAGGTTTGGAATTGAACATTCGCGTTGCTCAAAGAAGCTGGTTACGATGGGCCATTCAGACACGGGGAATCGAACCCCGATCGGCCTCATTATTATCATATCCCCGACAAATCAGACGAGAGTGTGCCATACACCATGTCCGAGAAATTATCCCGCTACTACAGTCATTCCATGGTCCTTGCATCAGTGCCAAAGGGCATAAAGGAGTTGTCCAGTAAATTATCTAAGATTATATTCTCTAAACCAATGTAGAACACTTCCAATAACATGAAAATGGCCAACCTCAGCATTGAAAGGGCATGGAAACTCAGAACATTATTTCTTTTTGTGTGGGGAAATGATCTGTGGTCCTTGCATCACAATGATTGCCCTGTCATGGCAGAACAGCTTCGAATCTCAAAATTGTGAATCATAGATATCCTAGAGGTCTACCTAGAGTATCTATCTAGCTTTTAATTTTTGCATTTATGTCCATAATTGGTCTCAAACCGGTGGAAACAAAATGTTGATGCAAGGACCATGGAATGACTGTGGGTCCTGTATGTAGGTCACTGAATTTCCTCTTCCATCATATTCATGGTGCTTGTTTTCTTCTCGGCCCACATTCCTCGTCTACCCTTCCCTCACTTGCCTAGTTCTTGTCCAATCCTCATTCCTTCCATTTTTTCACTCCAATAACAGGTGTATTATACTGGCCATCAATATCTTCCACACTCTCTCCGCCATCCACGCACTCGTACTTACCCGCATGCATATCCGAATACACACTGAGAAAACTGTGAGGGAAAATGCCCCTTGCAAAGGGAAAACATACGACAGCACGCTGTGTACTGGTTGATCCTGGGGATTTATACCTGGGAGGACTCCATACTCCAGCATATCTGGCTCGTTAAAACGGTAACTGGCTTGTCTTGCCTCCTTTACACCTCCCTACATGATTGCAGCATTTCCTAGCTACTTACCTCTGGTCCAATGGATCCACCACCTTGTATTGGGCATCCATCAACACCATGTAAAACTCAGTCAAACTCAGTCGCTCGTTTTTGCACTGACATAAAGAGTGGCTGTATTGAAGTGTTTTTCGCCAGTTCATTAGATTTTTTGGTGATTGAATGGTGGCTGTGCCTACCGCTGGGTATACTTCTCATATGCCGGTTTGAGCCCTCAACCTGCCTACTTTTTATTGTGCCTGTGGCGGTGAGATGGAATGTCACAGCCACCTGTGGCCTCGCTGCGATTTCGCAATTATTGCATTGATTACAGCTCTTTGCATAAATAATGACACTCATGAAATTTTGATGAATAAGAACAAATTTGCTCTACCTTTGGAGCTCAGATCGTGATTACCTGGACACCTTAGACAGCATACTGGCAAATTAATGACAGAGCTTGTTGGATGAGTTTCAATGATGACTTTGGCATATGAAAATAAATAAAAAAGAGTACATAAGTACGAGTTCCTGCTGGGCAAAGCCACGGCCCTACACCGAAGTTGCTAAGCTATTGAGTACATTCATCAAGGAGGTTTGGAGTCCAATTTCCATAGAGGACGGAAAACGACTTTTTCTTTGGATGTGTTTGGGTTTGGCAATGCCGGTGGTGCTCCCGGAGAGATGCGCACACATTTCCTGCTCCATTGCCCTGTCTGCTTGCCTTCTATGGGGCAGATATCTTCAGTGCTGTGGATGTCCACTCAATGCTCTCACACCCGAAGTTCTCAGGCCCCTCATCTGATTTGTTACATCTGCTGGCTGTTTTGGCTGAGCCCTCTCTCCCACTTCTTCCTCTTTTTCTGTTATTTACATCCTGTAACGGCAATAGCAAACTGAAAATTTAACACGATATAGAATGATTAAGTACCAGATTGTACTATTGCTACCATGATATTCGTTTCTGGGTCAAATCTCTTCAAATGAAACTCTACCATTATGGCAACAGGGACTGGACAGCTTCGGTTATGCGGCACGGCTGTTCGGCAGGCGTGATTGGCGATGGCGTTTGACCCTTTGGGTGCGAGGACCCCAAATCCAAGTTGTTTTACCTACTATCGTGAGGGTAGCTTCAAGTGCTAGGCCGGAAATAATGGCATATGCAGATTCTGAATCTGGGTATTTATCATAAATTCTAATTCATTCTAATTCTGCGTAAGAAAATTAAACCGCGTCGTCTGATACGGTAGGCCATTTTGGGAAGGTGGTTGAATTTTGTTGTTCGACTGGGGTGATGCTTCCCCCCGACAAAAGGGGGGGGGATTTATTATACTCGCGTGGTCCACTATGCGCCCAATTTCTTGAACAACTCATAGGGATACATATTATTTCTTACAAGGTGCTGGTCATAACATAGATGACATTGAAAATCCAGATGCGAATAAATAGCAGCGCACTTGCCATCGGTGGTCCAGAGAGCGTCTGTAAAGGTGATTAAACAGTGTGCTCAAAATTGTGAATTTTAATTGTCCTGACTTGGCCTCATACAAATTTTGGTAGCTCCACATTGTGCATACACAGACAACACTCTTTTCTCTCTCTAGAAAACATCCTCGATGTTTTGAGACTGAGGGGTAGACTCTTCAACTCACAGAGCTTGAGTCCTCAAGATCAAACAAGATCGAACACTTTCTTGTTCAATGAACAACAAAATGTGATCATAAGACAAGCAAAGAGACAGGGCTGTTCAAATGCTCGTCAGAGTTATGATCAGGGAACGGCCGCCCCAACATGCCCATCAATTAGGCATGTGTGCACAAAAAGGCAACAACTACGGCACCGTAGTACAGTCCTCACCACAAGTGTCACCTCTCTCTCACAGGCAGGCTGACCAATGGTCACGAGGCAAAAAAATCAAACCCTTTCCGAAACTTTTTCATTACTCACAGGAATCATACACAGTTAAAAGCTAGAGTCGGAATGAGACTCATTAATATTGGGACGGCGTGAGAAACCCGAAGGAGGTCGAGCTTTTATCCATTAATATTAGTATGAATCTCCTTTTATTATCGGATCCACAAGTCAAAATTCCCCAAGATGAGTAACACCCTAGTCCTACACTGGAATCACTGTGACGTCGTATAAAAGATACTCCGAAATATCGTTGAGACTTGTCGTTAGTCACGATAGTCGGTTGAGTGCGGATAGACTAGCAATGGACTCCAAATGCCGCAAGAGCTGAACTATTTTCAGATGACCCAATAGGTATCTGACAACACGGTGAATTGGGGAATGCACAGGATAGACGGTGAGATGTGTGGTAACACAGAAGCATATAGGTAGCCTGTAGAATTGATAAAGGCAGCGTTAAATACAGCAAGATATACCTGAATGGTCGAGAGTGGTTTGGATAGGATTGGAGGGTGAAAAGGCGATAAGTGAAGTTCTCTGAGTGCATTATTCAGGAACTGAGTCAAGATAAGTTTTGGTGAAACGGAGTATATTCTCTGTTACAGTAAGAGGGGGAATTGCCACACTGTACAGGAAGCTTAAATACCTTTCCAGAGCCCGAATATCGGACAAGTATATATGAAATTGGATGTAGGTAAATCAATGGTCCATGTGGTGCACACAGCCTAAAATAATGAAACAACCGATAAATTTGGAATAGAGAGAGTCATGGGGAGGAGAGTATCATATGCAAGAATGCCTAGACCTTGGCGAAACTTCATTGGTCCAATGAGCAGTCGGTTGTCCGGGAAATCAGGGAATCCACATATGGTCCCAAGGGGATTGCTTGATGTGATATGTTGGAGCTTGCCAAGGGTCGTTTCAGGTCCATGTGCATTTTACAGGCACAGAACCATGCGGAGGGTCGGGGGAATTTTATGAAAGTGCGCATCAAGCCATCAATGGACTTTCCCACGGTTTGATTTGGGCTCGGTCGTGCCGATGTGATTGTGATTTCTACAAGGGTTTGGATTGAGTTCCAGCTAATTAATTTAGGGAATGAGCAAAGCTTTCTGCAGTGATTTCAATGTAAACCGCAAAGTGGAGTCACATCACATGGTACGGGATGGGGCATCTAGTTGCACCCATTTCACGAGTTCTTTGGGTTGGCTCCTGTGTAAAAATCTGGGCCGAATTTTGTTAAAATTTCAGTCCATCCTAAGAATTACATTTTTACGCAAAGGAGGTTGGGGCGAATGTAGTAAACGGTGCCAGTCAAACCCAGCACGATGCTAAGATCCAGAAAATTTGGCTTTGGCCTCTGCGACATGATTTGCTGGCATATCTGAACTGACTCTGCAAGAACCACATCAATGAGGAAATTGTCCTGGAACCACAAGGATTATGCGGAGTTTTTGCACAGTTTGAACCAGTTCAACCATACTGGACAACAATGTGGAGAAGGAATAGGATTGTTCTTGGTCAGAATGAGCATAACCTTCCAATAAAGCCCTGTTTTTTTGAACCCGCATGGATTGGAGTCTATAGCCACCTCAGGTTCTGGTGTGTGCCTGATTTCGGAAATCAGGTTCGAAAGTAAAATGAATCCACCAGTCATCTACAATCCTGCGAGCAAAATATTTAACCATAGATAGCAATTGGAATTCAGAGCCCGACTGAAAGCCAACTTCAAGTTATTAAAGTCGTTAACATGTGAACAGACACCAGAGCCTGGCGGTTTACCGATACTGGAGTCACAGGAAATCATGAGAGGATCTAGATCTGTCGAAGAAAACATTGAACCTCGCGTAATCTGAAAGACCTATCTCATGCAATGAAGTCGAACAATAGAACAGATTTTGTAAGACGCAACATTGGGATGAATCGGTGGAATATCCAGCAAACCGGGGGCACTATCTAACGACCCTAGAGTACTTTTACCAAACCATGGACTATCAACCCCAGAATGTAGTCAGAAGGATGAGCACACTTAAACCTCCTATGGTGAGGTGGTTGGCCAGAAGCACAACATGACAAGAAGAATCAGACCTGTTGAGGAACCAACAGCATAGAGAATTTAGAAAAATCAAGGAGGGATGGAGAAAGTGTTGAGAGCCCATCCAGAAGACTACCTGTCGGGTCCAAGACACAGTGATACACCTCAAAAGAACGCTGAGAGAAACAGAAATTGAGGTTCCCAGCGAAGCCAAAATGCATCGAACGGGAAAGTAATGATATTAGCATTACAGATTACCTGGTTTATT